CTTCTGTATTGTAAAGGACACCATCAGGAGAGAGGAAAGACAATCCACAATACAGAACATTTTTTCAAATTATGCAATCTGAAAATTATATAATTATATATAGTTATCAGTAAGGGACTTACATCTATAATATATAATGAACTATTATCACTCAATAATAAAGAGACAAATAACCCAATTAGAAAATGGACAAAGGACTTGAATAGATATTTCTCCAAAGAGGATATACACATGAATAATAAACATATGAAAAGGTGTTCGACACCATCAGTCATCACAGAACTGTATGCGAAGACCACAGTGAGACAATACTTCATACCCACTAGTTTGTTTCCAATAAAGTCAGATATAACAAGTGCAAGGAAGGATGGCGAGAAATTGGAGCTCATATGCTGCTAGCAAGAATATCAACTGATGTGGCTGCTTTGAAAAACAATCTGTCACCTTTCAAATAGTTAGACATACAGTTAGCATATGATACAGCAATTCCACCCATAGTTATATACCCATGAGAAAAATAAACCTATGTTCACACTAAAACTTATACACAAATGTTCACAGCAGCACTGTTCACAGTAGTCAAAAAGTGGAAACAACCCAAAATGTCCACCAACTGACAAATGGATAACCAAAATGTGGTATATCCATACAATGGTTTATTATTGGTCAATAAAAAAGAATGAAATATTGATACATGCCACAACATGGGTGAACCTTGAAAACATGCTAAAGAAGAGAAGCCAGTCACAAAGGACCACATGTTATATGATTCTATTTCTGTAGAATACCAAGACTAGTCAAACCTATTTGACTGAAGGAGATAGAAAATAGATTTGTGGTTTCCTAGCACCAGAGATGATGTGGAGATTGGGGATGATGACTAACCTTTAAAAAACAGGTCCATCTTCTATCCACCAAGTCCTGTTGCATCAAGGTGCCAAGAGCCACAAGTTGTTGGACATTCCATCTTATGAGTCTCTACATGTTTGCATGCATGCTCACCTGCCCATGGCTGTGCAGGAGCTCTGGACTTAATGTCACAGGCCAAGGCCTTGTATCCCATATTCCACTAACTATACAATCTTGAAAAATTCACTTAACCTTTCCAAATCTTTTTTTTAAAGATTTTATTTATTTATTCTTGAGAGATAGAGAGAGAGAGAGAGAGAGAGAGAGGCAGAGAGGCAGAGACACAGGCAGAGGGAGAAGCAGGCTCCATGCAGGGAGCCTGACGTGGGACTCAATCCCACGTCTCCAGTATCATGCCCTGGGCTGAAGGCAGTGCTAAACTGCTGAGCCACCCGGGCTGCCCAACCTTTCCAAATCTTAACAAAATAGAAATCAAAAACAACTACCTCACAGGCACTGTGAGAGCTACATGAGATGGCATGAGTCAAGCGTGTCTCTAAACTGTAGATCCTATACAAATGTAAGTGGTTGCTGTCATCAATTCTGCAGACTTGAGGTCTTGATTTCTACTTTCCTACAAGAAGTCAGGCCCAAAGAGACCTGACTCACATCACCTAAATACATCATATGCAGGAGCCAGGATCTTAATTAACAGTGAGAAATCACGCTGTCAAGTGGATTGGATAGGCATGTCAGTCTGTCCATTCATTTCCTTCCCAGGAGAGAAATCTATTTGAGAAACTCAATTATCATTGGGAGGTTGCTTAGAGAATACAGAATCAGACCTCGGAGAGTTGGATTATCCTGGGAGCATTAATATGAAGTTATGGCAAATTAATGAGTCCCCTTCCTTCTCTACAGGGATAGATTTGTCAAGCAGACTAACATCCTCCCTTCTTTAGAGCAAGAATTGCTCACAGACATGACTTTCATCCCTAGTTTTTCAGGTAATCCTCCTCCTAGTCAAGATATTTATAACCACTTCAAAATCATCACCCCTCTGTACTTCATGCATTGTTATAATGAACCAATTCCCAATTTCAAACTTCTTTGTATTTATTTTATTTTGCAGGTTGACTGCTTCCCTTGTGACTATTTGTGGCATACAAGTCTCCACACTATACAGAAACTTTGGTCCAATCAAGGCTGACCAGAAAAAGCTAACCTAACTTACATGATAAGGCTCCTTTTCTGAACCACTTGGTTATCTTATCTTCTTCCGAACAATTTATATCTGACCTAAAAAGTAGAGTCCTCTATAAATGTAAATTATTGTGATTACTGTAAGCCCTGCAGATCAAAAACTTCATGTTTGATCATCATGGCATGATTAGAACCTGCTGGTAAAAGTCTTTAGTCCCTCTGGCCTTCTTTCCTTTCCTGACACACTGACCATCATCTTTTTCTTAAATCAACTTTGCTTTGAAAGAATTTTAAGAGAAATGAGAGTTTTATACTATTCTAGAATGAAAAATTAATTATTAATATATTTATCTGGTCTCTCCCAAAATATAGATATCATTATGGGTATCACATGGCATAATAGTGGAAAGAATGTGGATTTTGGAGTCAGGGATTTGAAGGATTCTGACTCAGTCTCTTATTAGTAATAAATCTTGGTCCATTACTCAACCACTCTGAATTCACTTTCTTCATCTACTACATATATCTTCATTACTGTCCTACAGTAACAAAAAACAATGCGACATAACAAAGATTATGACTGACATCTTTTAAGTACAGTGTAAAGGATAGCTATTATTATTGAGACTTTGACATCCTTTAAAAAGACCTCTGTCATTGTGAGTTGGGTCATGGCTTGCTATGTGTCTCCTAAAACCGTGGGTCTTTCTGTTCATTATTTGAAAAGCAAAAGGAAAATGACACTCTTTCATGTTTAAACATAATAACAGTGTGGTTAAATAAGTTTTCCTCAGTGCACACACATTTTTATTATATATTTCAAAAAAGTGGCTCAGAGTATTATAGAACCTCAGTACGATTTGTAGGGCAGGCTCTTAAGAAATGCAGAGAAACACAAACAGTATCTGTACCAATTTTCTCATCTGATCTCACCTACTATTTCAAGAGAGGGAAGTAGCCCACAGCATTACAGGCCTCTGACTTCAAAGCCTCTTAGATTTTAAACTGCTGTTTGACTTGGAAAAACCATGGTCAGATGCTCAGGCTTTATAAAAAAAAAAAAAAAATCAAACACCATTAAAAGTCCTGCTAACTGCATTCCCAAGGTTTTATAATCTGATCCTTTTCCAGAAAGGAAAGAATGATCTATGAAAGGAATACTATGTAATGAAACATTTTTTCGGCTGAAAAAAAACTGAGTTTTTTGAGTTGACTTTTTACTTTCTAAAAGTCCTCTAACTGCTGACAAGTCTAGTGCAACTCTTTCACTGAATAAAACAAATGCAGAAAACAAAACAAAAAATCTAATCCAAGAAGTCTAAAAAGGAATGCCATATGTGAGACAGTCCTGAAAGAAACAAAGGTAGTATTTCAGATTTCTTCTCCTTAAGATGATGTCCTGTGGGTTGTTCATTTTCCGGGGATATCCTTTCAGTTTTCTTGAGCCTGTCTGCTCCAGCTGAGGCATCTCTTACTCAGAGAAGGGTTGCCTCCCTATTTTCCATTGACTTTTTGCATTAGTCTGCTCACACTGCCACAACCAAATACCATAGACTGGGGGGTTTAAGACAACAGAAATTCATTTTCTTATAGTCTGGAATCTAAAGGCCCATGATCAGGATGCCAGCATGGTCTGGTTCTGGTGGAAGCTCTCTTCCTGGCTTGTTGACAGCTGCCATCTTTCTGTGTGCTCACATGACCTCTTTCTGTACAGAGAGGGAGGGAGGGGAGAGAGAGAGAGAAGGAGAGATTGAGAAAGGGACTTTGACAGAAAGCTCTTTGGTGTCTCCTCTTATAAGGGCACTAACCCCATCATGAGAGCCCTACTCTTATGATCCCATCTATTTACCTCCCAAAGATCCCATCTCCAAATGCCATCTCACTGGGGGTTAGGATTGGGGGGGAACACAACTCAGTCCACAACTCACCTCTAAACCTCTTACTGGATCAAATCACTACAATTTAATGGCTTCATGGTTTATCTGGCCTTATAGTATGACAATTACTCACCAGATAAAGTGAACCGATATGCTTATAGAAGTTAAGTAAAAAAGTTGAACCCTGTACCAGGTTTAAGATCTGAATAGGAAAAGGACAATGCTTTATTGCCCAAAAGATTTCATATGAAAACTTTACCTTGATGAATTTGCCAATATTCAGAGATTGGTCCTCAGTCTTTTGGACTCAGAAATCTGATTTTTGTAGATGCACCTTTCAAAGCTCAATTTTGAATCAAAATATTCACATTCACACAGCTCAAGAAGCTAGTGTATAAATAATAATGCCAGTAGGCCAGTTAACAATGAGAAATAAAATCTGTCACACACACACACACACACACACACACACACACACGAATACTTAAATTGGCACAGACTACAAATTCTAAGGAGCTCTTTTTTGGAAAGCCAAGTTATAATCAGAAAGCTGCTTGCTAACCAAGAATTCAAAAGAGAAGAGATTATTAGCATGATTAAAATGTTTAATATTATAAGGCTAAGAAAACCTGATACATTCAGCCTCAGTGTAGAAATAGCCTTAAACCAATGGGACCATGAAAATCAGAATCTTTCAGTAGGACTTCCTCTCCCTGAAAAGTGCCTGAATTTGCTCTCCCAAGTTAAACTGATTTTCCACTTTCTGTTGCTAAATAACACCATGTACAATGGAACCCTCCAGACTTGCTCAGGTCTGGGAGCCACTGTACCTCTGTAGTACAGAGTTAAGGTGTGGGAGTTCAGAACAGGAGCATGAGAGCCTGATGATCTCAATTTGAATCTTAGTTCTGCCACTCCCTGGCCAGATGACCTGGAGGGCTTGATTGGAAATGCCCTAAACATCATTCCTCCGTTGCAATATTAAGAAAATAATCCCGTTTAGGCAGTCAGTTGGGGCCACTGCCCAGAAGGCACTTTGCTCATTTGAGTTCCTCGCCTTGTTCCCCTGCAACCATGTCTGACAAACCCTATATGGCTGAGATTGAGAAATTGGGTAAGTCAAAATTGAAGAAGACAGCAACACAAGCAAAAAATCCACTGCCTTCAAAAGAAACAATAGAACAGGAGAAGCAAGCAGACACATCCTAGTGAGGCATGCGCCGCCGGTATGCACTGTACATTCCACAAGCATTGCCTTCTTATTTTTCTTCTTTTAGCTGTTTGACTTTGTAAGATACAAAGGGGTTGGATCGAGCTTAAATGACTGTGCTGCCACTTTTCACATCAAAGAATTGAGGACCACTGACATGGAAGGCCACACCTGCCTCTCCCATCTGCCCATCTGGCTGGCAGGGAAGGAAAAGAACTTGCAAGTAGGTGAGGGAAGAAGCTGGGTGGAACAACAGTGAAATCTAGAGTAAGAACCAAGCTGCTCTATCAAATGCAATTTAACTGGAGTGTCATTTGTTGTTGTTGTTGTTGTTGTTGTTGTTGTTCAAATTATTTTTTTAACTATTGGAATGCACATTTTTTAAATATGTAAATAAAAAGTTCAAGAACCTGAAAAGAGAAAATAATCCCATTTAATTTGTGGGGTTGTTGTGAAGATTATGCTTGTAAGGTTTTTAGCACATTAGCCTTAATAAAATACTAAATAAATCTTAACTATTATTTGGTGGAAATTTGCAAATCTCTGCTTTAGTTCATTATTGGATTTTATAGTTTAAACTCTCAGGGTACAGTCTCATGTCACTTATTTCCATTTTTCCTGCACCTGACGTTTATCTCATGTTTGCTCTTGGAACATACAACAAACCTATCATACTGATGATAGAGACAGGTGATGTAACTTTATACAGTACACGCTTACTTCTTTTCTAACTCACTAGATAACATAGAATTTAACAGAGAACCTCTGGGGATAATGTTATTTACCACTTTTCTAGGACAGAAGTTCAGGTCATCACTGTGGAAAGTTTGTGATGGTATTTTTTTTAATTTTTATTTATTTATGATAGTCACACACACACAGAGAGAGAGAGAGAGAGGCAGAGACACAGGCAGAGGGAGAAGCAGGCTCCATGCACTGGGAGCCCGACGTGGGATTCGATCCTGGGTCTCCAGGATCGCGCCTGGGCCAAAGGCAGGCGCTAAACCGCTGCACCACCCAGGGATCCCTTTGTGATGGTATTTTAAAAAGGCAGCAGAAGAAGATGACTATAAAGGTCAAAGACAGAGGAAAACTGCTTATCTTCCCCTGAGTTTGCCAAAACCTATGGTTATCTCTCTTTTATCTTATATTTTATTGCAAAATAGAATGCATCTACCCAAAAGTACATATACTGGCTTTGTTAGTAATTATTTCTTTGCTTTTATTTATACTTTTACTACCCAAATAATAAACTATAGCTACTGTAGTGTAGTCTGTCTTTGGACTTTATACAAGTGTAATCACCCATTATTTTACAACTAACTTCTTTGTCTTAATTTTGTTTTCAACTTATACTCATGAGGGTTGGAGTTCATTAATTTTATCACTATGTGGTATCCCACTCTATGAATATAACACAGTGTATTTATCCATTTGCTTTTCATAGAATTTATTTTGGTTCTGGTTTCACCAACTGCTTACAAATAATGCTGCTTCACATTATAAATAATGCTGCTTCTTTAAACATACTTGTGCATGCCTTTGGGTGAATCCTCACCAAAAAATCAGCCGGACAATCTAAAATTGAAAAAATGTGATATATTAAAGAACAAAAACACACTGGTTTAACAGCAAATGGTCCACAAAATAAGACAAGCAAGAAGCAGAGATAAAAAGGACTGGGGAAAACAAAACAGAAATCACCCATGTGGGATCCTGTGACCTGCCCCAGTACCAACCAATCAGAGTGTTCATTTTCCATGGCCACACGTTTGGCTCAAGAGCTGGCATGTGACTCAGACTGGGGCTTCAGGCACCAAAATGAGATACTTTCTCTTCCCCTAGACCCAAACCTGGGGCTTCTGGGCTGGAGTCTAGTCAGAGCCAAGAGAGAAGGGTAATCGAGTCCTGGTAACATCATGTGAGGCCCTAGAGAGAGCTATACCAGTCCTATCGCTGGACTGGTAGGTTCCATGAGCAAATATTTCTCTGTTTACTTTAGACCAATTAGAACTGGTTTTTGTTTTGTCACCTTCAAAGGAAATCCTAACTGTAAATACTCTTATGCACTTACGCATTCTACCCTCATTTGTACCTTCCTAATGGAAAGGTATATATCATATTATGAGAAACTTCAGATCAATTCCCTGAACTATTTCCCAGCTTGTAAATGGTCTTCCTTCCTAATAAAGCAACAACAGAGATCTAGGGACCTAACTGCACATAGGACATCTGCATTGAATTCTTCTTCCTCAACGGATCCCTGTCGATCTATATTCATCTAGCAAAACTTTGCATTTCTCTGTCCCTTGTCCATTTTTTTGCACTCCTAATTTTAATATATTGTTTTAATTAACATTTTTGGAGCTAAAGTCTTAGGGAGTTGTGATTATGGGAGGATTCATGACTACTCACCAATGGAATCATATTCAAAGTGAAGAGTGGATTATGAATTGCAGTAGCTTCTGTTTTTGAGCCTAAGGATGAACTTAAAATTCAAGATGGCCATTCATCAGAAAGCCTGCTAAGGTAGGTCTCTGTAAATTGGCTTATCTGAGCATCACAGATCTCTCCTATTGAGTTCCCTTTCCAGTTCCCTTTCCGTAGAGCATGATGCTCTAGGCCCTGGTCTCTGGACTCTGGGCAAGACACATTGTTCATTGCATGGTTGATTATTTTCTACACAGAGAGACACTTCCCTCTTTAAAACTAAAATGAAATCTCTTTTTCTTCAAGTTTTATATTGCTCCTTATTCCTCCTTCTTTACTGGGATAGTATTAAAAAAACAACAACAAACCTCACGGATAGGCTTTTGATTCCAATCATCTTTAAAAATTCCTTGCTTGGCTCTCCCTTCGTGTCCCCCCATACTCCCCACACTCCTAATTAACTAAGTCAGAACACAGAACCTGACAGGCTATAAGGCCAGCCCACAGACATGTCCCGCTTGACCTTTACAATATATTTTAAAACTTTAAAATTTTAAAATTTAAAATTTAATTTTTTTTGCTTTAGTTGATAGTTTATTAAATACACTACATTTGTACCTTATTCTGTAGTTTTTTTAAATCATTCACACAGGGACTTAGTAAAAACGTACTTTATAGAAAACAATCTGCAAAAGTAAAATAAAAATAAGAACGCACATTTTACACACATATTAGATAAACTGCTGGAAATCTTAGGAATTATTTTAATGAAGGTGATTGTAAAACATGAAGTGCCTCGACTTTATCAAATCTGACACCAGACCATGACTTCAGAAGTATAAATGTTGAAACGTGGATGCAAAAGTATCTATTTTGCCACACACAGTTAATATCAGGAGAGTCTACATGACAAGTCTCACTCCAGGAGCCTCTTGAAATATCAGGGTGTCTGGCACCCCACGTATTCCCTCCTGGCAGCCGTTAGCTCGAGCAAAGTAGCAGCTGCCTCTTTCGTATTAAAACCGGTCCACTTCACTTACTGCCTCTCCCACTGGAGCCCCAGAAAGGCAGTAAAATGCAAAGTAGAAATTGCTGCAAAGTGTGACTGCAAGACCTCAGATGGGATGTTACCAAACACCTTATTTTCTTTAACAGTTTTTACCCTGTCCACTTTCGCATCATCTTTGTACATACCTGGTTATCAGAAGAAATATTTTTGAAAGTACGTGAACCTTTTTACTTACGAGTCACCTGGAGAATGTACTGTTTCAGTTAGTATTGCCATTTAGCAAACCACCCCCAAACAGTGACTTAAAAAACAACTGTCATTCATCAGTTTGGACTGGACACAGCAGGCTTGGTTCATCTCTGCTCCATGAGATGTCAGTAGGTGACCCACACCGAGGAACCGGAATCTTCAGGAGACTGGCTCACTCACGTGTACTCCCTGGCTGGTGGCTGGGCGTGGACTGGGCCTCAGCTGCAGCTTTTGGCTGCAACACCTTTAAAAGGCCTCACTAGCAGCTGCTTGGCTTCCTTACAGCACAGTGGCTTGGTTTCCACAATAAGCGTCCCAAGAGACAGGACGTGAAAGCTACTGGTTTCTTAAGTGCCTGGTCCAGAACACTGCACAGCATGGCTTTCACCGTATTCTATTGGTCGAGGGGTGACTGCTGAGTCAAACAGTGGACATAGAGAGAAGCTCTCGATGCAAGATGTGTCCAAAAACCCAGGGCCGTGTTTTAAAACTGCTGCACTTATTAATAATGCAAATGCTTGGATTTCACCCTAGACTCTCTGAATCAGAATTTCGGAGGCTTGAGCCTGGGAACGTATTTTTATTAAACACCCCCAATTTTTTTAAGCAGACCAAAATTTGATTTCTATGTCACCTTGGAACCTCTTATTCTAACATTATGTTCCTTAGCTGAGAGTTTTTTGTGATATCCACAACCACCATGCTTCATTAGATGGGAAGGGGCAGTATTAAGCGGTCCGGGTCTAAATTTGAATTCCTCCCACACTGCAAGCAGAGCAGAACACAAAAGAAGGTGCAAGAAAGTAAGGTCACAGCTGACAGGAAACTTCACCAGACTGTAACCTGGGGTACCCCTCTCTTGTGAGAAAACGTGCTTCTTTCCCATATAAATGGGAAAGGGATGATAAGGAGAGGGATGTTATTTCACTAGGGGTGTGTATCAGTTGGGTTCCTCTGAGAAGCATACCCTGAGATGCAGGCTGAATGCACACAGTTTCTTTGTGAGGTTGGGGGATAGATGAGGTAGGAGAAGCAAGAGAGGGAACAGAGGTGCATAATTAAGCCAGCCACCTCAATGGGAAACCAGAGTTTAATCCAACTGAGAGACTCTGGGAAAGGCATAAAGACATATGTGTCAGAATTATCCTGCCAAGTGGTAAGGGAGCTGAGATATTTCTATTCCCACCTTCTGAAGTAATTAGTAACTAAGTAAGGATGCCCTGAAGGGGTCATGAGTTCACAGCCATTCCAATAGACAATGTGGGGTCTAGAAGCCCAAGAGCAGGTATTGGCCATTTAAAATCGGGCTGG